AGCCCAGCCTCGAGCTAGCAGGTTCTGTAACTGGTGATGTAACACTGAAATTTCCCCACTGTTGGACAAATAAAGGATCTCTTAATCTTTAATCTTATTTATCTTATTTGTTTTACATTGATGTCATTTTGAGTTTATTTTGGTATGAATTGTGCTGTACAACTAACTTTCCTTCCCTTGCTTTGATTAACCCTCTCCAGGCAGGCGTTGCAGATTTGCAAAAACTCCATTTCATATTACTTAACTACTCCACATCCATATTTTTGACCCTTTTCCACTCACAAGTACAAACTGCTGGACTAGGTTGAGCTTTAGCAACAGTTTTCCACCTGATCCCCAGGGGGCCCAGCTGTCTCACTTCCAAAATGTCAGTCTCCTTGGTTTAGCTGAAACAGATTTTCCAGGCATCAATTTCAAGTCAATATCACTACCAATCTTCAATATTTTGAAACCAAAACCATTAATATATTTAGATGCATGCCAACAGTACATGCCAATTAGAAGATTATCTGGGATTTTCCCCAGGTCAGCTCTATTATCCACAGCGGGCCAACGTTGCAAATCTGTAACATCCTAGAATGCATTGCCTTTAAAAGTTTCTCCAAAAAACAGAATTGAATATTACTAAACCATATCATAAATGACCACAAAAAAATCAGATTTTTCATGTCATGCAAATTGAATTGGGCCCATATGAGATAAAACTTGTAGAAATGTACATTATTTTAAGTTACAAAAAGAGGATCATTGGCATAAATAGGATCACTCAGGGTGTGCAGAGAGACAGGAATAATCGTACAGCAGATTATAAAGTTATATTTTAAAGGTATTTTATGTAACAGTTTTGCTGCTCTCTCTGCATCCAGCCACACCATGTTGTTTCTTGGCCCAAACTGTGTGGAGTTTCCCTGCAAATTCCCTTTTTGTAAGTTGTCCAATCAGAGTTTGATCCCAGATAAGAACCATAGCTTGTGACTTGGGTCAGCAGTCCACGATGACAAAGAACCCCTTTGCAGCTGCATTGTCGTCCCTCACTGTGGATATATTAAAGGATGAACGCAGTTGGAATTCTTTTAAGTTCACCAATTCTTTAAACTGCAATTACGACAAACAAATACAAAGTTCTGCTTCTTGGAAAATGAAAAAGTTGATTGAAAAAGATGGCCTGAAGTGGAGCTGGTCAGTCGCCATGGTGAGACATCTGCTGAAGTGCTTGTGGGTATAACGTCTAGACAATTTGTTTTCTCTGTGGTTCGTACATGTGTGTTTGTGTAAACCTAGATTCAGTTTACAAGGTGTTTCATATATGAGCACTTTGAATAAAGACAGGCCTGAGTCTGATCAGTGTCTGGAGACTTTCAAAGGCTGCAATTATCATCCACATTGAAGGAAAGATGCCATTTACTTCAATAGAACTGCAGGAACTTGGCATTGGTTGGACTTGTGCCAGATGTAATGACAAACTTGTAATGTGACCTGGTGCTTGTCTGCAGCGATGTGCACTTGTCTGTCAAGGTTTTATTAAATGTTGGCTGCTCAAAGGTCTGTGTAGTTGCAGAGAGCGGCTTCCTTATAATAAAAAGATAAAAGAAGATGAATGTCAAAATTCTGTGGCCTGTGGGAGCGTTGTCAGCTGCAGAGCTTTCATTATTCTGAATTCAAAGTGCTGGAAAAGCCTCATTTTCATCACAAGTATTCGCTTCATAAGAGCTTGTCAATCACACTGTGTTTGTGTGCAGACTTGTGATAATCCAGATTTCTCTGGACAGCAGCCAGACAGGAGATGAATGGCCACTTGGGAAGAGCAATCCTCAATTCTTCAGACTGAACTGGTCTTTTTGTCTTTGTGTGTAATCAGCTGACGCATGGGCACAGCAGGAGCCTACTTTCCCATGTCTTATGGTGTTTAGTCTTCGTTCTTGTGGATAAAATGAAAAATAGAAATCTTCAAATGGAGGACTGTGTATTTGGTCTGTTGGGGTTTGTTAGAAATAAACAGCTGTAGAAGTATGTTATTTAAATACTCTGTTCAAAATTATATATTGAGTTCAAAAGTTATGACATTGTAGCTCATGATTTATACTTTCTCAAAAAAAGTCATTTAAAGTCTTTATGGTTCCAGTTGGACGCGGAGACACAATAAACATGTTTTACTAACTGATCAAATACCTCTCTCTACTCCTCTAAAGAAGTGTTAATGTGCAATTTGTGTGTGTGTGTGTGTGTGTGTGTGTGTGTGTGCGTGCGTGTTTGTGTGTGTGTGTGTGTGTGCGCGCGCGCGCGTGTGTGTTTGTGTCTATTAACGTTCTATTTCCTGGAACTGTGGTTGTGGGTTGATTGTAAGGAATGTATTTAAAATCGCGAGTTAATCATTTTGTAATGTACATGTCTAAACACTAGAGGTCACTGTTTCACATGTTTTGCTTACAGTCTAGGGTTTGCTTCGTGAATGCAGGTTCAATCCAGGGCAATGGCTCCATCATGTGGTCGAATGTTGCAATAATATTACAAAAGGTACAAAATTGTGCAGCAACAAAGCAAGAAAATATTGATCAAAAATAATTTATTGAGTTTAGATCAAATGACAGTGGAAAATCTGCAGAGAACTCTTTGCTGTGAGACAAAACACATCATCAAAGTTGTAGGAGGAACATTTCTGATAAAAACTTGAGTTTTTGGACAATGACGATGACTTCCTGTGTGTTTGGTTGTTCCTTTGGTCAAACATAATAATATTAAAAATGAGCTCAAAGCTGCCATGAAAAGTCAGAGCTTTATCCTTCAAGTGTCTCATTGACAAAGAAAAGTGTTTCCAGCGTCTCAACAAAAAATGTCTTTAAACAGACACGTACAGCACAGGTTTTACAATGCTCAGCCAAAACATTTTGATCACCTCACAAACCCTTCAGATTTTATGTTTCAACGGCAACATACCAACAGATGAGCAAACAGACTTCAGTTGGTACAGGAAATAATATTACCAACTGCACTTTCTTTTACAAACCAGACAGACTTCAATTCAGAAGTCTACAGAATTCAAACTCCATTAATCCATGAATTAATTGGAATGACACCAGCTGCATGTGAAAGCCTGTTCCTGGCAGACCTCTGAGGCTCAGAAGGGCAAGGTCTGGTTAGTACTGTGATGGTAGACCTCTAGTAACAGCAGGTGACACAGTAGCCAGCTAAAGCAGTCTGTAATAGTCATGGATCTATAATAACTGGATAAGGTAAAACTAGCTTATAGCTGTCCCACCCACGGGCACAGGCTTCAGACTAAATTCACGCGGGCTACCCAGAAAAAAGTCCAATAGAACTCAATGTAAACTAAACAGCTCAACCTCAGGTGACAGAGAATCTTCAGCTTTCACAAAGATCGGATTTTGTGGGTCAGAGCGCGGTCGAGCCCCTCTGTGCACGTGCATGAAAGCCACACACGCGTATTTGGCGCAACTCATCATGGGAGCTCGTCCACTGCGCAGAACCGGGAGGACCAGACGATGCCCAAATATAGCCGAATTCTGATAATCTCCCGGTCGCCGTGAAGTCCCATGCGCTACTGAGCACAAGCCATTCATTTGAATAGGGCGCCATCTTGGATCACCGGGGCTTGGTAATAGTGTCCTTAGATAAGACACTTCACCCACATATACCTTGCATGAGTCTGGTGTGTGTATGATTCATTTGTGGTGGTCAGAGGATCCAATGGAATATACTGTTTGCCTCACTTCTGTCAGTCTTCCCAGCAGCTGTGGCTACGGTACCATGTATGCAGTGAAAGAATAACGCCATGTGAAGCTGTTTCTTTGCGTGGGTTCTATTACAGCGCTTTTTGGACCCTCAATTATTTAACCGTTATTGTTTGCAATTCAAAGAGATAAAACATTCCCAACCCAAATAGATGCATCTAAATTATTCCTTGTTTCGCTCCGTCTTCTCTTGTGCAGTTACAGAAATTACAGTACAAATATTCTTCACCTGTTACATATACATACTAAGTGACTAGAAGTAAAAGCACCTCGATTTAAAAAGACCTTGTTACTTCTTTATTAAACTGTGCCCTTTCAGATTTACCATACCTTAAAAACATAGACATGTATGTTGCTGTACTTACAATACATTATTCTCACTCGCACCGACACCCGTAAATACACACTCCAAACCGTAAATATGTTCCTATTACCCGTAGTTTAACTGCCCCCCTCCTCTAATCGCTATCTGTAAGTTAAAGTGCAACCGTTGAACCTCATCATTATTTGCGTCTAAAGAAATAAATCAGCTGACGACAACTACATATTTAGGGTTGAATAATGACGTCCTTTCATGAAGCATTTGTGAGAAAAACGTTTCATTATATATTTCTGTTCCCATCTAAATACCTGCCAAAGCAATCAAATAAAGAAAAAAAAATGCAATTCTTTTGAGCTGCAAAAAGTGATGAAAAATACATCAAACTGCCTTAACCTTTTACCGTTCACTTCTCAAAGCAATGTAATTCATTTATTATTTATTTTCTAAGATGTAAGAGCACTAATAAAAAAAAAATCTTTTGACCCCATATTAAAAGTGCCTAAAACCAAGTGATAGAGATGCCCCTAAAAGGTATCAGTTCCAAGCTTCAAGTAGATAGTGACCCAAAGTGATCCACCAAAGGGTTGCGCAAACCACTAAAGTGTAAAAATAAGATTTGCCCATGAGAGAGCAAAATGATCTTGATTTAAAAAGATTTTTAAAAAATCTCCCTTGGAATGAAAAAAACAGTTCTTGACATAAGACTATAGGAGAGCCATTTGGATTATGGTTTTGTCCCATTGGCAAATATTGTTTTAAGACCGTCAGAATGTATTTAAATTAGGATAAAACTTTAAAAATTGAGCCAATACAACCTCATATTCTATCATTTTTTTGCAGTGTTAGGGAAGTGGCCCAATTAAATATGAATGAATGAGTGGTGGTTGTAGTGTTATGGCCGATCACCGGATATGGCGCCCTCTTGTGGCTCAGGGTGCAGTGGCGTTGTGTGGACCACGGGCACTTTGCGGCGCTTTGAAATAAATGAATCTGCGCTTAATCAAGTGTTTGTGCCCTTCTTGAAACTGTGAGATGTAAAGTCTCTGTGTGTACTGCAGTTCGGGCCTTATCAAGCCCTCGCACATCTCTCTGGTTCGATTGTCCATGTCCGAGTTCAAGATGTACCCCTGAATGACCGCCGCCCCGTACTGGAAAGGCTTCAAAGCGGCGTCTTTGATTTTCGACGGATCCACAGCACCTTTCTCTTTAAGGCACACTTCTGCGAGTTTAGTTTGCACGGCTTTCAACTCTGAAACTTCTTGTTCAAGTTGTCGGCGTCCCATCAAACTGTCCAACTTGCGCCAAAATGTAGCATTGAAATGCAGATAAATCTGCCAATCTAGCGCGTTCCACTTTTTGATCTTGTCGACCGTTTCGGACGAAAGAGAGCGGCGGGTGTGGTCACTGCGGCTGTTCAGTTTAAAAGACGCAACATCCTCCAGCGTCCAGCAGAGGGAGTGCTTGAGCAAAATCATGGATTCGTAGAAGTACTCGTTGATGAGGATCAGATGGAAGTCGCGTTCGATGCCGGTAATGGCGTTGGAGACTTGCTGCTCGAGATCCGGCGACTTGTACGTGGCATTGTTGTTGAAGCCAAAGTCGAAGGCGAGGATGTTGTGCGCGTAGTGGTTGTTCACCACGGAGCTGTTGTACTGCGTCCAGCTCGAGTTCAAAAATTCGTCCAGAGTGCGTTTGCCATTGAACGCTTGTATGCTCTTGTAGTAGATGAATATGGACTCCATCATCGACACTGGGTTTCGCAGGATGGAGAAGTAAAACGTGTCGCGCGGCATCACCTTAGCGACCTGCGGGCACAAACGTACAAAAGGTGATTGTCATTGGAATGTTGTTAAAAGAAGCTATACCCCATTTATTTTCTAATGAGTTCACAAAAATGCGTATTACTACAAACAAGTTGTATTAAAATCCGTAATTTTATTGAAAACTTGAGCTCATTGATTCAGCTTGTGCAGGAATTCAGGCCGTAAAAAGTGCTGAGTAGAAACTTAGTGTGACGCTCGTTCTCCTCCAATCACAGAACGAGGAGCGGCGCTGCTATGAACAGGCTACCTCCTCTAGCGTCTGCAGCGCAAGTAAACACAGCAGAATTTGTGCAGAAAGTGGCAATAACTCTTCTGGCTGTAACTGCAGACACAGCAAAACAGCCCAAATGACGCAACAGTGAGGAAGAGAAGAGGGAACTAAAGCAAAAATATGATCAAAGAAGAAATCGAGCCCGGGTGAACATGTTAGTTTACATCGTATCCTATTTGAGAGACCAGCTAGAGCGGGACCGCCTAGGACTAGATTTGGACGCAAAACTAGCGGTAATCTTCCAGCTATACATTGTGTTAGCAGTGTGTTTCTTTTGTACCACTTCATCAGTGATTGTTTTACAGCTTACAAGAAGTTGCGCTAATGCTAATGTTTGCATTCGTATCAGATCGCAAATAAAACTAGATGGCTTCGTGAGAGGAGAGCGTAGGGGTAATGAGAAGCCTGTGGGGGGGTTGGGGGCGGTGCTAAACATTATAAACTGAATTAAACCTTGCAGAAACGGGTATAGCTCCTTTAAGTTATTATTTTAGTAATTCATATGTGGTAGTGGTATTGTATACTGAAACAGATTCACTTCTGGCTCCAGGAAGTCTGTTCTGTTGGTTCTTCCATTCCTATCTGTAATATGTAATATGTAATCTTTATTTATATACCGCCTTTTCACTGCACATCGGAGTCTCAAAGCGGTTTACAATTGTTATTTTTGGGAGCGGGGCCAGTACAGGAGGCACATGCCAGACCTATTGTACATATTTTTAGTGGTAGGGGAAACCGGAGCACCCGGAGGAAACCTACGCAGACACGGGGAGAACATGCAAACTCCACTCAGAAAGGCCCTGGTCCAACCGGGATTCGAACCCAGGACCTTCTTGCTGAGAGGCGAGAGTGCTATCCACTCAGCCACCGTGCCGCCCTATCTGCATATGAAGGTGTGTCTTGTACTATCAAAAGGACCTTACAGACTGTGAAGGCTTCAGATCTGTCAAGACATCTTCTCCTTGGACTGGGTAACAAGTAAAAACAGTGCCTAACTATGTCTGTTTGTTGTCTGAGGTTTTGTCCAGGTTCATTTGTAGTTAAATATCAGCATTAACAGTTATACAGAGGCCAAGCCAGTTTGTTTGTATAGCGCACTTCATCCACAAGGCAACTCAAAGTGCATAAAAAACAAGATAGAAACAATCACAATACATTAAATAAAGTCAAGATAAAATCCCTCAGTTGAACATTGTCGGAGAGGAAACCTGACAAAAAGCCATTTTCAGGATTTTAGCTGCATGAATCTGAACTTCAAGAAGATCTTCAAACAGTTCTCTACAAACGCCATTTTATGATAAGATGAACTTTATTGATCTCACATTTAGCATAAATAGAATTACTCAGATTGGGCAAAAAGACAGGAAGTGTGCAAAGTATAGTCTCTTTTTTGACAAGCTAGCTCTTATCGGCCTTGCCTGCATTAAAGCTGTACTAACTCACTTTGTGACATTTTCGTATTTGAGCGCTGGGCTCACATTCTGCTCGCCCTCCAGGGATGGACTGGCCATCGGGCGTACCGGGCAATGCCCGAAGGGCCGATGCCCATATTTGGGCCGGCCTGTCTGCCTCATACAAAAACATGTTTGTGAAAAGTGTAAATCCGTTGAGAATTGTTTGAGGGGGGCGTGCGTGTCCGCGGGCTCCTGCTGTATGTACTTGAACGGGATTCCACCACCTCAGCGGCCGCAGTGTTCCCGGGCTGCTGCGGACGCTTTGTAATGAGCGGTTCCCGCATCCAGCGGCTCTGAGCTGGACGCGGGAACCGCTCACAACACAACACGTTGAGCGCGTAGCGGCAACGTGACCATATACCCAAGACCATAAACGCGCACAGGACCATGCGTGTCTTAGCGTAGTCTGTGGACCCAATAAATACACCGCTGTAGTAAACGGTCCGCGTCTCCCTTCTCCTCTCGAAGCGCAACTAAATTAAAGCTTGGGTACCTAAATGTTCCATTACATCAAAAGTTCATGTTTGAGCCCAAAAGTAAAATGTTGTGAACAAATCAAACAGATTTAGTGACAGCCAATGGCTGACATTATGCATTTCAGACTTTTTTTTGACCAATTCTCATCCCTGTAACAAACAGGGAATTATCTCCAACTCTCCGACATGAACACGGCTTTCAGTAGACTCAAAATTATGCAAGTTCCTTTTGACTGTTGCGCAACTCACAAAGAAAATGGATGCGCTATTTTTACTACTAGAAATATTGATAACTGTTAAAAAACAGTTTTTGAATTGTGATTTCTCTCCTCTTCTCTGGATATGCTTCATATGTTTTATAAAATTTTTAAAGTAGCGCAAGAGAAACCGGTTATATTTAATTGCAACAAACTAAAACATGCATAGTGAGCTGTTACAACACGTGATAGACCATCAGATTCAAAGTTATTTTCATTGCAATGGTGAATAACAAGAAGTCACAAACAGCGAACTAGCTTTGGCTCTCGGTGCAAACCGGTTATAAAAGTAAAAATAGAATAAGGCATGCATAACAATAATGATGTGTAGTTCTATAGTTGAGTTGAGTGTTTATTTTCCATTTATTTTATTTATTTATTTTTTTCTTTTATCTATTTTATCATTATTATAATTTATTTATTTATTATTATTATTATTATTATGTATTTATTATTTATTATTTATTTATTTATTTTATTTTATTTTTTTGATTTTTTTCTCATTTTTTAATGTATCTATTTTATTCTTTCTTAATTTTGTTTATTTTATTTATTCAATCTATTTTATTTCTAAATCAATCTACATAAAACATTAATTATCAAATGTCACTACATATACATTTCTAGCAAATCATTCATTTACAATCACATATTACAATACTGTACATTAAACAAACCCGAAAAGAAGTGGGCGGAAGAAAAATGGTAAAATGATATAATAATATCACATCTTTAACATTCCTCTCTACACTTTCATACATTTCTGCATGTCATGTGCAGTTGCAGAAATATACAAATAATTTCCTAATAGTTTTATTGGAGCCTTTACTACTCCCTCTTTTTAATCAACCTATGTTTTTCACCAACCAAAAGTCTAGCGTCAAGAATACAGCCCGAGACACCACACAGCTGAAACCATGTCTAAATGAGGTCTAGACTGATCCTAAATGAGGTCTAACTATCAATTTAGGATCAGTCTAGACCTCATTTAGACATGGTTTCAGCTGTGTGGTGTCTCGGGCTGTATTCTTGACGCTAGACTTTTGGTTGGTGAAAAACATAGGTTGATTAAAAAGAGGGAGTAGTAAAGGCTCCAATAAAACTATTAGGAAATTATTTGTATATTTCTGCAACTGCACATGACATGCAGAAATGTATGAAAGTGTAGAGAGGAATGTTAAAGATGTGATATTATTATATCATTTTACCATTTTTCTTCCGCCCACTTCTTTTCGGGTTTGTTTAATGTACAGTATTGTAATATGTGATTGTAAATGAATGATTTGCTAGAAATGTATATGTAGTGACATTTGATAATTAATGTTTTATGTAGATTGATTTAGAAATAAAATAGATTGAATAAATAAAATAAACAAAATTAAGAAAGAATAAAATAGATACATTAAAAAATGAGAAAAAATAAAAAAAATAAAATAAAATAAATAAATAATAATAAATACATAATAATAATAATAATAAATAAATTATAATAATGATAAAATAAATAGATAAAAGAAAAAAATAAATACATAAAATAAATGGAAAATAAACACTCAACTCAACTATAGAACTACACATCATTATTGTTATGCATGCCTTATTCTATTTTTACTTTTATAACCGGTTTGCACCGAGAGCCAAAGCTAGTTCGCTGTTTGTGACTTCTTGTTATTCACCATTGCAATGAAAATAACTTTGAATCTGATGGTCTATCACGTGTTGTAACAGCTCACTATGCATGTTTTAGTTTGTTGCAATTAAATATAACCGGTTTCTCTTGCGCTACTTTAAAAATTTTATAAAACATATGAAGCATATCCAGAGAAGAGGAGAGAAATCACAATTCAAAAACTGTTTTTTAACAGTTATCAATATTTCTAGTAGTAAAAATAGCGCATCCATTTTCTTTGTGAGTTGCGCAACAGTCAAAAGGAACTTGCATAATTTTGAGTCTACTGAAAGCCGTGTTCATGTCGGAGAGTTGGAGATAATTCCCTAAAAAAATAAAAGTTTGCGTATACAATTTTGTGTCCTTGTTACTCCCAAGCCATTTCTTTTTCTTGCTACAGAACTTTGAATGAGGAAAAGGCAAAAGTCTATAATGTTCTTTTTTAATAGATATACATTATTAATCCCCGTATGAGAAATTCAGGTGTTCAGTGAATATATAATGGCGCAGGCACAAAAACCCATACCTGAACTATCACATCATCTTGACTCATCACTATTTTAAACAGAAAGCTAAAAATGTATTCTTGTTTTTGCCCTGTGGCTTAAAGGTATTTAGGGAGATTTTTCCACATTTCTATTTCAATCCTCTTCTGTCTTTTGCCTAGTGTTAAACCGGTTCTCTACTGTCCCTTTGCATCTCCTCAGCTTCCCTCACTGACGTTTTTCACATTATCAGTGCTTCTATCACAACGAACCCACGATCGACTGAGCATATGTGGCCTGCCGTGATCTACACCCTTTGCTCATTCCTTATCAGGTCACGTACACTTGTCCTCACACACTCAGACATTCACACATGCCTAAAGGGCACGCACACACACAAATACACACGGACACACACACGCCTACACACGCATTCACAATTGTGTCCTGTCGACATTCTGTTTCTTTGGCGCTTGTTGTTTTTTTGATACGCCGTCATATATTTGTCTCTTTTTGTGTGTTGTTTAATAAAATGTTAATTTTTTTTTTTTCTTCTTCTTTTTTTACATTTTTAATTAGTAGAGTCCAGATTGGGTTCAGGTTTGGTCCTTGTTTAGTGTAGTGCCATGATCCAGACTCACCTGAGGACCCTGAGCCCAACGACTGAGAGTGAAATAACCAATTATTTTATCAAACTAATTACATTTTTCTCCGTAAATACTAAGACAAGACAGACAGAAATATGCAAATATACACATTTGGCATAAATAGAATCACTAAGGGTGTGCAAAAGACAGGAAATAAGTTAAAAAGTGAAAAGAGAGTCTCTTTCACGCAAGATATATTGGTGGATATACAGCAGGGCCCCTGCATTTAGCTTTAAAATAAAAGCATTTGGGCTCTATGCACGCACCACCTCCACGTTTTAGTTATACTTGACTTCCGGTGCGCAGGGATCGGCTTGAGGTTCACTGGAGTTCAGCAGATGTTTACACGAGTTTCCTAAACAATGCTCTAACTGGAATTAAACTGTGAGGATACTGAGCATTTTTGGGACACAGCAGTGCTCTTTGATTGTGCTGTCACTGTTCATAATTCATTTTAAGCTATTTTTTTAATCTCGAGTGACAGAAAAGGCCACCCATCACTTTTCACCTCCAAAGCACCATCACATACTGTATATTACTGTACAGATTAAATGAAAGTGACTACAGCAGTCCCAGTGCAGGCCATTGAGTGACTCATTGTACAGTCTATGTCCAGGTTTGGTTCTGGTTCGGTCCTTGTTTAGTATAGTACCATAATCCAGACTCACCTCAGACTTCTTGAACCTCATGTGGTTGCATATGATGTGGAACTCGCTGAATCGGTGGTTCGTCACTCCCTGCACATAATGAGGCGCGAAGAAATGAGGATAGAACAACTGGCTGTTTTGATTGGCTGGAAGAGCAAAAGTCAAGTTCCTTCTTTCTCCAAATCGATACAAAATGTTCAACATGGTGCTGCTGGCCGTTTTGTGCGTCTTCAAGAATACAAGGTGGGTTTTTTCTCTGCATTGTCCAGGAGCAGACGATGAGGATGAGCTCTGGCTTGATGACGTGATTCTGGGTTTTGTCGCAGTAATTCTGGATTTTGTGGCAGTATTTCTGGATATTGTGACTGCAGTTGAAAAGGCCTCAGTGGTGTAGAGAGTAGTGGGGTTTAGGTCATTCAGTGCAGAGTTGGACGAGAATTTTCCCAAAATGGAGTGAAGAGAAAAGGAGTGTGGTTTGTACAAGGCGAAGGGAAAGAAATTGACTCCAGGGACTTTGTCATTACTGAAACAGAGAAGACACAGAATTATTTTAGTGATTTCAGCAAAATACTACATTCAAGTCAAGTCTGAAAATAACTTGCAAAAGAATAATGTATAATAAAAGTTCAATATAAAACAAAAATCATACAAGATCCTGGTAAAAAAAAAATAACTGTATTAAATGCCTTGCTTCAGAAGTCATCTCTTATAATCATCTGTTCCACAAATCAGAAAAATCTTATTTGGATAAACAGAATTTATAATGGAAACCTATGCAAAAAGGCCTATGACTTTGTAGAAAATAATGAATAATTCCCAAAATAATTCTCTGTCAATAACATGGCATTTAGCATATGAAGAGAAAAATGCTCTTATAAAACCAGGCTAGTTTTGTTAATATTTTCAAATCTCTTTCTCGAGGGAGTCCTGCCCCCAGAGTGAAGAGCCTAGAGGGCATGTTTTAGGGGAACTTGTCATGCCCTGCTGCTCGCCCCCTCCCCTCCTGTGCATGGGTAGAGTTCTGGAGCTGCTCACCTGCTCGTGATTGGCAATCATCATCCTACTTCAGCTGTGCTCTGCTGCCAGTCGATGCCAGATTGTCCGTCATTGATGGTGATTTTTCCAGTCGGCCTTGTGAGCTTGAATCTGTTTTTTGTGAACAACTACTTACCTGTTTTTTCCCTGTGTTTCCAGTCTGCCAGTCTGCTCCAGTCTCTGCCTGCCTTTTTGTTCCCGTTTTGTTCCAGACCCTGCTAGCCTCCGTTACATTTTGTTGTTTGTAATAAATACATTTTTTGGAAAGTCTTGCGTCTCCTCTGGGTCCCCTCCATTACGCCATGACAGAACAATCTGGCCACATGGACCCATCAGACCAAGACGCTCTACGGCAGGCCCTTACAGTTCTCGTGGGCCAGCATGACAAGATGCTTCAAGAAGTGATGGGCAAGCTTCAAGAACTATCTGCTAACATGAGAGATTTGGGAGGCCACATGCATCAGCTTTTTCAGCACTTCCCCGCTGCTGCTCCAGAGGCCGCTGTCTCTTCACCTCCTTCATTCCCACAACCGCAAGTTTCTCTTCGGGAGCCTCATATTCCAACCCCTGAACGTTACTCTGGAGATTTGGGAGCGTGTGGGCGTTTCCTTCTGCAGTGCTCTATGGTCTTCGATCTGCAACCCTCGACCTACTCTACAGATAAGTCCAGAATAGCTTATATTTTGAGCTTACTCACTGGAAAAGCTTCTCAGTGGGCTACTGCACTTTGGGAGAGTAACTCTGTGTTTTTTCAAACTTCTGATGATTTTTGTGATGAAATGAGGAGAGTTTTTGATCACCCTCTTAAAGGGAGAGAGGCAGCTAAGCGGCTACTCTCGTTAAGTCAAGGCACTTCACCTGTGGCACAATATGCTGTAGATTTTCGTATTTTGGCCTGAGAGTGGATGGGACAACACAGCCCTGCAGACTGCTTTTGTTAGAGGCCTAAACGAAAATGTTAAAGATGAGTTGGCAGCCAGAGAGATTGTAATTCGTTAGAGGAACTAATTTCCCTAGCCACTCGCTTGGACAATCGACTGAGGGAGAGACTAAGAGAGAGAGCTAGTCTGCGTCAGACTCGCACCAGTTTTCCTCACACATTCCCTACCCAAAGATCCTCAGCTCCTTCTGTGCCTCACACGTTCCAGGAACCTGTAGCTGCGGAGGAGCCCATGCAAATTGGTCGAGCCCATCTCTCTTTTCAGGAACGTCAACGTCGCCGAGATGCCGGCCTTTGCCTTTACTGTGGACAGGCTGGTCATTACATCTCTACTTGTCCTCGGCAGCCAAAAGGGAGGGTTCACCAGTAAGCGGAGAGGTACTGCTGAGCCAAACGTCTTCTCTCCAATCTTCCTGTCCCGACCGACTCCAACTCCCAGCATCCATCATGTGGAACCGTGAGTCAATTCAAATTTTGTCCTTTGTAGATTGTGGGGCAGACAACAATTTTATTGACAGCTCTCTGGTTGCCCGGGCCAATATTCCGACCAAACCCATAGATTTTCCTAGAGATGTTAATGCTTTGAACGGCCAGCCCCTTGCGAAGATCACTCACTGCACTTAAAGAACTTTTCGTTACTGCACCTGTTTTGAACCATCCAGATCCTTGCAAGCAATTCATTGTTGAGGTTGACGCTTCAGACACCGGGGTTGGGGCAGTGTTGTCCCAGTGTTCAGACAAGGACTCTAAATTGCATCCATGTGCTTTTTTCTCGCATCGTCTCTCCCCTGCTGAGCGTAATTATGACGTTGGAAACAGGGAACTTCTGGCAGTGGTCCTGGCCCTTCAGGAATGGAGACATTGGCTTGAGGGTGCTGAACAGCCTTTTATTGTCTGGACTGATCACAAGAATCTCTCCTATCTCCACTCAGCTAAGAGATTAAACTCCCGTCAAGCACGTTGGTCTCTGTTCCTTGGAAGGTTTAACTTCACACTCACATACCGTCCCGGATCCCGCAACGTTAAACCTGATTCGTTATCGCGTCAATATACTGTCGACGAACCAGAACCTCAGCCAGATGCTATTCTCCCTCCATCCAGTGTTTTGGACCAGCCTAAGGAGTGCCCTGTCTCTGTAATAGGAGCTATGTTCTGGCCGATTGAAAGAGTGGTTAGAGAGGCGCAACGTTCACAACCTGACCCAGGTAATGGTCCAGATAACCTCATGTTTGTCCCTGACTCGGCTCGCTCACCTGTTCTCCAGTGGGCCCATTCGTCAACTTACCTGTCATCCTGGTTTCCATCGCACTCTGTTGTTTTTAAAGAAAGTTTTGGTGGCCTACAATGAACCAAGATACCCGTAGCTTTGTCTCTGCTTGCTCTGTCTGTGCCCGCAGTAAATCCAGTCACCGACAACCAGCTGGCCTCCTTCACCCTCTCCCCATACCCAGCCGGCCATGGTCTCGTATTGCTGTGGATTTTGTTACTGGCCTGCCACAATCGTTAGGTAACTCCACTATACTTACGATAGTTGACCGATTTTCCAAGGCCGCACATTTCATTCCTCTCCCCAAGTTGCCCTCTGCTACTGAAACTGCTGACTTGTTGGTCCTCCATGTGTTCAGACTCCATGGAATCCCCTCTGACATAGTCTCTGATAGAGGCCCACAGTTCACGTCGCAAGTGTGGAAAGCTTTCTGTCAGTCTTTTGGGACTTCTGTTAGTCTCTCCTCAGGTTATCACCCGCAGTCAAATGGCCAGACAGAGCGGACTAATCAAGATCTGGAGTCTGCTTTACGCTGTGTTACATCTCGGCATCAGTCTTCATGGAGCAAGTTCCTGCCCTGGATTGAATATGCCCACAATTCGCTGGTTTCATCCGCTACTGGTATGTCTCCTTTCATGGTCTCCCTGGGTTACCAACCACCTCTTTTCCCAGATGACGAAAGGGACATTGCCGTGCCCTCCGTCCAGACTCGCATCAGGCGTTGTCGGCGCATTTGGAGAGCTGTGAGAGGGGCTTTGGAGCGTACAGCTATCCGCAATCAACGGATGGCTGACAGGCGTTGGAGACCGGCTCCTGCATACCAACCTGGACAAAAGGTTTGGTTGAGCTCTCGCGACCTGCCACTCCAGGTTGAGTCCCGTAAGCTGGCACCTCGGTTCATCGGCCCTTACGTCATTGAGAAGATGATCAACCCCTCAGTCGCTCGTCTTAAGTTACCTTCTTCGCTTCGTGTTCATCCTTCGTTTCATGTGTCTCTCCTCAAACCTGTCTCTGCTAGCCCTCTCTGCCCTCCGGCCGCTCCCCCTCCTCCCGCCCGGGTGGTTGATGGCCATCCGGCGTTTACTGTGCACCGCGTCCTTGATGTCCGGCGGCGGGGTAGGGGTTTCCAGTATCTTGTTGACTGGGAGGGTTATGGCCCGGAGGAGCGGTCCTGGGTTCCCCGTGGTTGCATCTTGGATGCTGCCCTCCTCCGGGATTTCTACCGGGCCCATCCTGACCGGCCTGGTCGGACGTCGGGAGCCGTCCGTTAGGAGGGGGGTACTGTCATGCCCTGCTGCTCGCCCCCTCCCCTCCTGTGCATGGGTAGAGTTCTGGAGCTGCTCACCTGCTCGTGATTGGCAATCATCATCCTACTTCAGCTGTGCTCTGCTGCCAGTCGATGCCAGATTGTCCGTCATTGATGGTGATTTTTCCAGTCGGCCTTGTGAGCTTGAATCTGTTTTTTGTGAACAACTACTTACCTGTTTTTTCCCTGTGTTTCCAGTCCGCCAGTCTGCTCCAGTCTCTGCCTGCCTTTTTGTTCCCGTTTTGTTCCAGACCCTGCTAGCCTCCGTTACATTTTGTTGTTTGTAATAAATACATTTTTTGGAAAGTCTTGCGTCTCCTCTGGGTCCCCTCCATTACGCCATGACAGAACTGAAGCACCCAGAAGAAACCTGTGCAAACAATTATTTAGTAAGCCACCAATTGTGTTGGTCCTCCCACTTAAAAAGATGAGAGATGCCTGACTGTAATTGAAGGATTACCCCAACTATGAGAGACAAAAATCACAGTTCCATCAAAGTATTGAGATGGACTTTTGCTCTTGACTAAATACTTATTTTTCAACATAATTTGCAAATCAATTCTTTGAAAATCAGAGTGTGATTTTCATAGTTGAGCTATAGACATAATAAAAATTAAAGGCATCTCTTGTTTTTTTTAGGTGGGAGGACTGAATACTTATTCGCCCCACAACTTTTGGTTTCTATCGTTCTATGTAAAACTTTAAATTTGCTTACAAAAAACAACAAGGCTATTTAATTTACAAAACGGCAACTGTAAAAGTATCTTAGTAGTAGTTATCTGTGGGAAATATACTGTGACGATTCATGACCACTACGTTGGACATGACAAACTGTATCACAAAGCAACATGGCACTAATGACATTCTCTCATGGCCTCGTTACTGCCCATGTGCTAAGTGCTCGTTTCCTGGCGTAATTGCAGACCCTCTCAGTGGTCATTTCCCCCACGCGTCCTACCGCCTTCTGCCGCTCCATGTTTGAACCACGGCCCATTTTTGATCAGCCTAAGTCTAGACACGGTCCTGACCCAGAAACACGAGCCGCGTCACAAATCAATATTTCATTCAAAAACTGCATCAGTGAGCGTCGATACATGTTTACACTGAGAGCTCACAACATCCAGGCCTGATCGGGCACGAAGACGCACAACAAACACACTTTCTTTTCAAAACAAAATGAAAAAAGTGGCTGGGGGAAGAACGTAACAGGATATATGTCGATGGTAAAGATGTTTTTTCAGATTTGAGGTTTGAATATTGTTACATTCCTGACATAGTTTTAAATGCACACGTTTTACATGAATTTTGGGCCTTTCAATCATACCAACAATATGAGCTTTGAATCCATATACAACGACAAGGACAACTTTTTATTTTTCATTTGAAACCACAGTGTTATCCTTGTTTTGGATTGCTGTGTTAGGCCTTCTTTATGCTGCTCATCAGGTACTGAGGTGCTGCAGTTTATGGTGGCTTTAGTGTTTTGTAGTTGTTCTCTTGAGATCATGTGTGTTGTCACTTTAAATAAGTAAACAAGGTGAAGGGCAGTGCGTGCGGTCAGAAACGGTGCCCAGTGGAGAGGATCCAGAACTCTCCAGCCCTAGTCACTTTTGTTTTTGGTCATTTTCTAACCATTTCCTCGCACTTTTTTTTTTCAAACAAAAAAGCTTGTACTATTACTACTTTTGCTTAAAGATGCAGTCAATGACTGTTTTCCAGACGCATTTTTTTAAATATTGTGGGAAAACATCCCTAAACCCTAAAAGTAGTCAAGTTATCATGTGTTTTCAAATAGTAATGGAATTGACCAGATGCCTGTAGTCTCCAAAAAAGTATAGAAAATATTTTGGAGAGGACAGATTCATCCCCAACGAACCAATGAGATGCGTTTACCCCTTCACCCTTTTCCTGTTTCTCATGAGTGCGTATACCTGAGTTATTGTATTTTCTAAAATCTAAAAGGGCTGAACAGAAAATGCCGATTTCACGTTTGCCACCCACTCTCCCTGTTGTGACAAAGAAAAGAAAATGCTGGATGTTTGGTTTGAAAAAAGGAAACAGCACTCTTGCCACTTGGTGGTCACCACACAACATTACACAGTTGCAGATGGATTGAGCTGTGGTGGCACTTGGAGGGCAAAATTCTTTGTTTGGTGGTATTTCATGTGAACATACAGGATATAAACATTGTACTGTAAAGCAGGGGCATCACACCTGTCTTCAAAGAGCCAATGTGGCTGCAGGATTTCATTTCAACCAAGCCCATCAGACTCCACCCAAGTGAATCCAGTCTTAAAGTAGCCACATGAAAGCTTTTTATGTCATGTCATTGTTAAATGGCCCTAATATGTCAAAAGGCATAAATAAACCCAGCTCTTTTCCAATACTTCTTTAACTAATGACAGTAGTTCAGCCGAGATATTCAAACTTTAAAATTGGATTTACAGCTCCTAAATCTGGTTATTGTTTTTATTTCAAAGTCCTGCCCTCCACCGTTTTACCAATCAGTAAGTCTGTGATCCGGGTTGCCAGAACTCATCACATCAAGCTAATCCCACTAAAGTAACATGTGGCCACAGTACGAAAAAAGGTCTCAATCTGATTCTGATTTCTATCCGGGCCTTTGTGAAAAATGTGTTGGTTATAGATTTGTTGTTGACAAAACTCTTTTATTATTGTCCCAGCTGGATTTGTCTGCATTTCTGGCAACTTGAGTCAGGAATATTGGCTGTGATTGCAGTAACACCTTTGGCAAGATTGTTTTACTTATTGCTTCTTTAACCTGGAGACCTGAGGAAATGGGTGGAGTCTTGTCTTGGAATAAGTCTTTGTTGGAATGAAATCTTCTCTGGAACCAGTTTGACAGATGACAGAGACGGTCAAGAATGTATCAAGATAATTAGTATCGACACATTCAGTTGTGTTAATACCTGGTCTGACGGGCGACTAAAGTCTGGAGGACGATGCATACCAGGACCAAGCCCAGCAGGACCAGGATGTAGTGTCTCCTGCTGCATATGGCTCTGCGCACACTCCTGCAAAACAACAAACATTATTGTACACAATCATGAACAATATCACACAAAAACAGACAGCCATATTGTTTGTAAATTTAAATGTCTTCACATACATTCTCCAGCAATGCCCTGGTGCGTTGAATAGGCCCTGGCCTTTTCACCGCAATTGCCTCTATATGCCTTTAAACTTGTCTTTCTATACCTGAAATTTTCCCACGTAATTTCCAGGGGCAGCGTAATGCAAAATGACCCCATACTAAAGGAAAGAAACGGAGAGTTTGTTCCAGTGCGACGAAAAGGGAGAAACTCGAGTCTGACCAGTCAATGGTCTGACGCTGTAGGCAACAAACGAGACCTTGGAGTTGCTTTTGAGAAGTGGAAAATGCTGAGAGAATCTCTGGACAGGAATAAAGACCCACAGTTGGCATCATTTCAGCTTGAAAGGTAAGACCGTTGTTTCTAAAAATGTGTGGGAAAAAGTAGATGCATGCAAGGCTACTTAGCAAAATGCTATTTTTGTCAGCAACTAAGTTCTGCTGCATTTTTAATTGTGGAAAACGCTCAGAACGAGGCATGGATGTCTCAGTTTGCAAAATACCAGCCGCAATAAACCCCAGCAAGATCTCTGCGTTAGAAGAAACTAACACAATAACTAACGTTAGCTTAGCTGGATATGCTAACTCCACTGAGGCGGCAGATTTTTTACAAACGGGGCGGGCTCTTTATTTGAGGGTGAGTCCTTATTGGCCACTCGTGCTGGCCGTCAACCCATAAAAGCGTTGCCCTGATTGTTCCTCAATTTCTCTGGCCCGTTATTATAATAGATCCATGCTCTGGCCTCGTGCTTCGGGCCCGCCCACCGGCTCGTGCATTTCCGTGTTCTGTCCGGCGCCTCATGGCCATGGATCTCTAACAATATCGCGGCAGATAATCCCATTTGATTCAAAATGAGGTTGTAACGTGAACTGTTGATACCACATCTAATATGCCCGGACATCTCTGTCTTCAAGTCCTCACATGCAACGGGCTGATCTACTCGCCTCTGTGTCGAAGTAACGGTAAGCGCTCCTGTTCCACAAACACTCTCCAAACCTGCTAGCCTTGTGTTTGTTTATGCCGCTTTTCCATAGTCACGATACGGCACGGCGCGGTCGAGTGTTGGTGCTTTTCCCTTGTGTTTTGACCAAAAATTATGTATGTAATGTAAATCGAAGTAAAAGTATGTGGTAGGAAATCGTAACTTTTGAACCCCTTTGAAACAAAGTCTTGATAAGATCACAGATTTATTAAAAACAAAAGTAAAGTGCAAAACCAACAATTTACAAAGTCCAAAGTACGTATGGTCCAGATGAGGGGAAAGTGAAGTACACCGGTCACTCATTGCAAACAAGTAAATATACACGCGACAACTTAAGTACAAGCACAAAACAGAATGGCAAAACGTGAAAGAGCTGACTTTTGGGGCTTTCTGTGCGATTTAATTTCTCTGGAGTGAGGAGTACGTTATCATAATAGATCCATGGGAGGACATATTGAAGCAGAGCAGCCGGTTTTAAAGATGGCGGGGTTGAGTTGTTTTTACCATAGGGTTGGACGTTGCTTCCAGTGACGACACTTGTTGACCAATCAGTGTAAGGCAGTCGGCTGACGTCACGTTATGGTATCGCTTCGGCACATATGGAACCACTGTCGAGGTGGTACAAAAAAAGTACCCTTATCTCAAGCCCAACCCTAGTGGAAACGCAAAATAACCGTGCCTTGCCGTGCCGTGAGGAAAAGTGGCTCCAAATCTGTCGCACCCTTAGCCTCTCCCTCATTGGAGCTGTGCTGCCGCTTTGCCCACTCTCATCTCTGCGCCCTACTGCGCGCTGTACTGTGCTGTCTGCTGGCGCTGCTTGCTTTTCACTTGCGCCCCGGTCGAAGTTTGGAGACCGGTGCTGTCCACTCTGCTACCAAGAGCCCGCATATCCCAGCACTCCTGTGTTTGCTTTTATTAGCTAGTTCTCAGATTTTTCCGCTGTCCAGCCTCCTTTCCTCCTTCCTTTGTCTCTGCCTCCTCAGTTAAACTTACCTGTGTGCTTATTTTAGTTAATTGTACTTTCCCTGGTACTTAGACCTGGGTGGCGTTGCTGGTTCTAAATTTTTCACTATAATTCACCCACCGCTCACGCAAAATGTACATGCTTTGCACATGTGTTTACCAGAGGAAGTACTAAAATGGTATGTGGGAGGTTACATTCTTTTTAACACTTATTTTTGTTCATACAGTTTGGAACATCCAGTCAAAACTGAAACAGGAGATTATCAACAGATTAGTTGCTCTCGGTAAATGAGCATATTCATTTCTAAGCCTGTATACCGTGTATCCTTACAGGCCTTTCTGTTTCAGCTGACGAGAGGATGGACTCTCCAGGTAATGCTCAAAGCTCTTGGACATCTCATTATTATAGATTTGCTGGAATGTTTGTTTTTCTTTATTTTCCCATTATCTATATATTTTTGTTCAAAATGATCACTCCACTATGTGCTGTACGTACACAACGATGGAGCTATAGACACCATGGACATCATCAGTGTAGTCAATGTGGACCAACGATGGGTTGACAGTAAAAGTCATCCTCTGTCAACTGCCTTCTGCCTAATTTTTACTGTTTTAGATACTGTTCAGACAATTTTTTATCATAAACAAAATTGTATCATAATTATAAAGGCGAGTGATCGCTGTTGCTCTCAGTTTGCATCTTGTCAAAGAGTGTTTCTTAAAATCAGTTATACTTTGTACACAGAACATCAAGGTCTATTAGTTGTGTTATTTATATATCAATTATATAATATACTTTGAAAACAAGATCCATGCCACTTTTTCAAACATTAAGGCAAAGCAATAATATCTCAATGACAAGTGGGAAGGTTAAACGATAATAAAAGGAACAAATCTTAGTGTCAAAGGGTCAAAAGTCTTGGTGTTACATCAAAAGTCAAACCAAATCTACTGAACCAGCCAAAAGTTCACGTGTGAGTGAAGTAACCAAGGAGCGAGAGGCCTGTTCCTACGAGACAGACGCTGTGATTTCATCTGTGAGGTATTTGGGAGGCTGTAAAGGAAGCACACTCCCAGTTTTAAACAATTCACTGATGTCATAACCAAGAGACATGTTTCATAAATGTTCTGGACCTGGAGAATCATTTGTATAGATAGCTAAAGATACACTTTATGGATCCCCAGAAGGCACCTGAAACACATCCATCCATACATACAAATGTACACATAATAGTTACAAACAATTATAAGAGATTTACTGATATTTAAGTTTTTTAAATATCAACTGTCTGCCTACGTTTCTTCCAATCTGGTCAATATGTAACTGTGGCATGTTATAGCTCATTCTAACACATTTTCTTAGACAAACTTCCAATTAATTATGTTACTCAAACTGATTAACTTGAAACTATCCATCCCTCCATCCATCCATTTTCTTCCGCTTTATCCGTTGCCGGGTCGCGGGGGCAGCAGTCTAAGCAGAGACGCCCAGACTTCCCTATCCACACACACCTCCTCCAGCTCGTCCGGGGGGACCCCAAGGCGTTCCCAGGCCAGCTGAGAGACATAGTCCCTCCAGCGTGTCCTGGGTCTTCCCCGGGGCCTCCTCCCGGTGGGACGTGCCCGGAACACCTCCCCAGGGAGGCGTCCAGGAGGCATCCGGAACAGATGCCTGAGCCACCTCAACTGGTTCCTCTCGACGTGGAGAAGCAGCGGCTCTACTCCGAGCTCCTCCCGTGTGACTGAGCTCCTCACCTTATCTCTAAGGGAGCGCCCAGCCACTCTGCGGAGGAAGCTCATTTCGACCGCTTGTATCCGCGATCTCGTTCTTTCGGTCATTACCCAAAGCTTATTATCAAGTTAAGATAAATTATCAATAATTAATTAAAAAAGGGCAACTATCTGTTTCAATTTGAACATAACTATTTGTGTTTCACATTTTTGTTTTTACCAAAAAAATTATCAAAACTTATGAAAGGATTTACTTAAAAAAATATATATATAAAAATAATAATAAAAAGATCATAAACAAACATATTTCCATCAATATCCATCAAGGCATTATGTAATAACTTCTAAAAATGTCCTATTTGCAAACAAGCGGATTAGCATGCGCACCAACCGTGTTTATTTTTGGCATTTAAATGTTATTAGCCTTTAAAATTAGCCATTGGCCAAACAAAGAGATAAAAATGTCCCCAGAAAACTCACATTGATGGTTCACATTTAAGAAAGTCTTCAAAATTCTTGTCACTGTGTGATTTGCTTAGCCTTAATGCAAAAGTGGGAACTATTTCAACCATGTATTTTAAAGAAAAAAAAAAGAAGAAGAAAACAGTCTATAGCAGTTTCCTATATATTACCCCTCAAATGTTTTCCTGTTGACAGGGTTTACACAATAAAAACAAAAATCCAAAATATTTAAACATATAATGGTGACAAAAACACCACTAAACATACTCTAATCCAGATCATGATTCAAGCTCAATGCAGAAGAAACTCTTGGTGCATTTTCTTTCTTCACAAATCGGGAAAACCAAATGTCAGAGCTACAGTTGGAGGCAACATGATAGATGTAAATATGTGAGAGCTAATGCCGTGTTCAGACCGATCGCGATGGAGGCGAAAAAATCGCATCAAACGCCAGGCGTTTTTCGCTTGAATATTTGATGACACTCGCTTCTATCGCGGCGATTACTCGCTCTGTTCGCCTGCGGATTTTCGTCGAGATTTCGCCTCGCCGCGTCATCCAATAGGAGGAGCTTATGGCCAGTTGCCGGTTTCGGTTTTTATTCAACTCAGCATGGCGGGCTTTGATTTTCTGGAACGAGTCACTATACTTTATTTAATGTGGAAAGCCGAACAGCGGCGGCAGCGACGCCGTCTCTGGGTCCACGATATCCTCCAGAGACGCTCCCAATATGGGGAGTACCACCATCTGCTCCAGGAGCTGCGCCTGGATGACGGTCGATTCCAGCGGTATTTCCGTGTGTCCAGGACCCAGTTTGAGGACCTGCTGTCCCGCGTTGGGGCTCGGATCACCGTCCGGGAGACCAACTACAGGCGCTCTATCTCCCCTGCAGAGCGCCTGTCCATCTGTCTTCGGTTAGTAAATCAAGCGGTTCTCAATAAATAAGATTCCAAATGTTATAATCCAAGTACTTTACATGTAAAGCCATTGTGCCACTGTTTAGCTTTTAGATTTATGCCAAACTAATCAGTTAGTTATGCCAAACTAGACACGATAAGCTCGTTTCAGGTGGGGGTTAGATAATTAATAGTCCATTAGGTTAGATAACTAAATGTTGTTCAATGCTACGTCACTGCTCGATTCAGTCCCTGATTGGTCAACGCCCCGCGAATTGACCAAAAAGTTCAGATTTTTCAACTCGAGCGAGTAGGGCGGTGGAGGCGAAATGGCTCTAGGCGCGCGTCAAACGCCCCTTTCGCCACTTTCGTTCCGCTCTTTTCGTTCAAAACGCCCTGTTCGCCTCGCTCTACTCTCGTCATTCGCACCGCCGGCCTGTCATTCGCTCCTGAGCGCACCCGGCCATAGACATAACATGTAAATCACTCGCCCCTGACTCCTCCATCGCGATCGGTCTGAACACGGCATGAGTCTACTCCAAAAACTCAGATGGAAAACACATTCAAAAAGTCCACACTGTCTGAGCCCCATAACAATAAAGCTTTTATTAAATCACTTGCAGCAGTAGCCAGGGCAGTAAATAATCAGGCAAATACAGACTTCCGGGCTTTTCATATGTCACCACTTTTCAGGGATAACATTTGTGTTAGAATAGATTTTAATCAATGCATAAAGTGTAAGATTACATCATTGATACAGACAGTGTCAAGTAAAACACATTAAGCCAAGGCTCAATCCTTTTACTTCTATTGATCTAGTCTGGTCTCATGACAAAAAGGAACTGCACATCAATAAGTAAAGAAGAACTTCAAAACAGAAAAGTGCCAAGTGTGAAGTCTCAACAAAATGTACTGATGGTGTAACTACTGCTACCGCTCGGTCGATCGCCACACTGCCAACTAATTCTAAAAGCTCCATACTGCCACCACGAAACCATCCATCCTTTTTCTTCTGCTTTGTCCATTGCCGGGTCACAGGGGCAGCAGCCCAGGCAGTGATACCCAGACTTCCCTCTCTACAGACACATCCCGAGTTCCCAGGCTGTCCCAGTCCCTGCAGCACGTCCTGGTGCCAGGGAAGATCCTGGACCTGCTTTGATGGCGTCCTGAAGGCAAACGAAACAGATGACCAAGCCTCCTCCACTCGCTCATCTTGACGTGGAGGAGCAGTGGCTCGACTCTGTGCTCCTCCT